GATGGATGCAATTTCTAAATCCTAATTAAATAATTCACTGTTGATTTCCATTCCCAGCTAGCAAATGGAAACGTGAAATTAAAATTGTATTGTTGCAATTGACTTGAATAGTTATATCCGGAGCGGTTTCTCTTTAATATTTTCGAAAACAATCTTGAGTTTTGGTTTAATTACAAAGTGGCAATAAGTACTACAAAAACATATTAGGAGTTGTATTTATAAAGTATGAACATGATGTGACACGCATAATCCCGTCGTCTCATCACTCTGTTGACAATATTCTTGCATGCGTGACAGACTAAGCTCGTTTCAAAGACCACCAGATTGCTAGTCGCTTCATAAATCTAAGTTATAAAAAATTAATAAATTTAATTGCAATAAAATTCGAAAGCAAATATGCAGGCCCATAAGCCATTGCCAATAAAATTGCTGAATAATGCTAAAATATAGCGTATGGTTAATTTTTAGCTTCATGGTTTATTGGGCGGACAAAATTAAAAGATGAACGAATTTTCAAGTCATTTAGATTTTTTTTATGTAATATTGAGTACAACATTGCATTATAATTCACATATTCTCACATTCATGGCGCCGAAAGGTCAAATATTTGTTAATTTTATTGATAGGGCATAACTTGGATTTTTTATAAATGATTCGAGGGGATATTTTGCAACCGTTCTCTTCTCTTTGCGTCAATTGCAGATAATCAACAACTGCTTGAGCTACGAGCCTTCAAGGTCTCCGAATGATACGACGTTATCTTAGACGAAAAGTGGTACACGGAAGCTGCTAAGTTAGCTCAAAGTTATGCGATCAGAAACTTTCAAGACAGGATAAGTTAAGAGCATCGAGAAAACTTAGCGTGTCTCGGTTGCAGAGTCGCTACATGTGCTTCTGTTCCAGGGTGGAGAAACTTGAACGGAACCGGCCGGTGTCAGCGAGGATTTTAAGTTACAGCCGAAACACGTCGATGAACAACTTTTAAGGAAACTTTTTGCGGACTTCTAGTAAAATTCTAGTGTAAGCTTTACTAGAATATTTCACTGACATCTTATGCAATGATTCGTTTAAAGTGTATTCTTCGATCGTTTAAAATGTAATGTATATCTCATGCAATGATAGCGAATTATTCATTTAATATGTATATTTTTATGCAATTGGAAACCTAGTCGTCATTTATGTTGACTTATTAAAATGCGGACTGTAAAACGTCTAACCAATTGGATGTAAAAATGAACTTTAAAATGAAAAATGTGTTTCGGGATTATAACCATCGTTAGCTAATTTTGGAACATATGTCATGAAAAGAAGCAATAGAGTGTACGCAAATTTTAAGATATTAAAATGCTTTTAACTTGTTCCGAAATGGATTGTGAAAAATCAAATTATGAAAAAAATGGAATTGTTGTTTTCGTCAGCATAACGCCATGAGTAGAATGACGTTATACTTGAAATATTTTAAACGAGATTTCAATACCATTTTCCGCTGGTAAATTAGGAACATTTTTAAGACGCTCAAACCTGAAAAAATACATTTTCCTAAATTTGCATTTTAATGCAGTACTATAGTTATATCCCATCAAATATCTCTCCTACGTTGAAATAAAACTTTTAGCAATATTTTCATCTGCCTTTTTTACTCCTACTAATAATTGATTGTCAATAACAACATTCATAACTCACAGGAATGAATGCTTAAATAACGGAAACAAAAATGAAAAAAATTTTGGGAATAGAATATTTTTACTTACAACAGAATACAGAACGTTGAGTGAAGCTCATGTGGGAGCCATGCGAATATTTTGTTGTTTGATCCAGCCAAGCGCTTATATAAATTACAAATCTTATTGTTACTTCTCTAGATATCAATGTGTACGAATAAAATGACAATTAAATCAGTTAAAAAAGGACATGTTTTGTTATAGCGAAAAATTATATTCATTGCCGGGCATAAGCTGGACGAAGTATAATTTAGTGGACGAATCTAAGGCCCAATAATAACTTTAGTGTTCCTCAGTTGATTAAGAGCTGTAGTGTCTCAATATTTCAATGAAAAAATACATTTATTGGACTTTTGATTGTGCTGATGAAGAAACGGCAGGACCAGGCAAATCTGTCATTCCAATTCAATCAAAGATAAATAAGATCGGGGACCTGGACTGCAAAACTGTGATCTTATCTGCAAAACAAATTTTACTAAGCCATTTATTAATCGCTTGAAAAATCGCTCAATCTAAATAGTAAATACATCATATGTTATTCAAAAAAATTTTGTCAGATGTGCGTATACTCAATGAATATTAATCGACTGAGAGAGGAAATTTTCAGCAATAATCCCGTGCAGACAAAGATATAAATGTCTGTAATAGGATTATAAAAAAAACATATTTAATTCAATTCGGAGTTGAAGGAGTTCAGAATTTATGAACGGTAATTTATTGCTGGCAACTCTTTTCTTTTGAATTCTAATTCGTATGACAGCTGCTCACACCTAGAAATAATGGTTAAAAGAAACTTCCATTTTTTTATCTTTGATATTGCACTCTCACAGATTTGATTATTTAAAATAATTACCCTGCAAATTTCACTAATTCTACGACACTGTGATCATATCATATTCTAATTTAATATTTTTAGGATCAACACACAATAATCCTTTGCATTAATTAAAGCTGTTAGCCTGTATGTCTTTGGATATTAACATGAAAGGAAAATTTTACACAAGTTTCATGAGATTAAAAAAAATGTGGGTTATAAAATAACTGTTTTGAGGGAATGGTGGAGATGAAATGTGGTCTTTTTTAATTAGGAAATTTTATATCGACGATGATTTTTTGTTTCTTTTATGTGTGTGGTGGCGTTCCGTTGCGAACTCTCATGAGAAGAGTGTTTAAAATTACAAGAATTTGGCACGATAAAATCTATCTGGTAACTACATGAGAATCACTTGATTCCTTCGACAAAATTATAAAAAAATTAAGGTTCTTTGATTGATTTCCATCCAGGAAAAGTAAGAATGGAATGCATTGAGTGAACGTTGATAATATTGAGAAGTCTGCAAATCAAGACATTGCTTCATGAGTTCAGGTTAGAGCGAAAATCGGTACAAAGATTAGCTTCGATGCAACTTTGATAAAGCTCTAACGATTAAAGTTTTTCACAAGTTTCACAAATGTCCGTGTGTTGTTTTCAGTATTGAAATCAGTGGTTGACAATATATTATTTTGTTTTAATATTCTAAATGTTAGTTAAATTCTAAACAATAAAATTTCATCTTAGTACTGTTGACCAATAAATATTGACATGAATTGAGAGAATTACAAACTCAAAGTATTGCTTGCTCAATCACCACAAATCATTTCTAGAATATATCACAATCTAGCACTGAACACATCAAACCATATTTATGTTCTACCTACTAGGCAGTATTACATCGAAAATGCTACATGTGACAATAGAAAATGTGAAAAGCGACCAGCCTTCATTCTTAACCTTTAGTAGAATTTAACATGCAAGCCCAGGTGAGAACTGGTTGGATGCGGAATCCCACATCGAATAGAAATTTAAATCATTGTGTGATCCAAATTGGTGGCTCATACAAAGTATTTTTCCGTGACATTCCAATCCGTGCAGATAACAGAGCCATAACGGAACAATAGAGTGTGCTTGAGCATGACATTTCAAAAACATAACATCACTACTTTGAAGTCAGCACTGATGCTTGTGATCGATTCCTACTCGTACTACTTCTACAGTGTATACTCAAAAATCACGCACGTTAGAAAAACAAAGAGATCATCATTAGTTGAAATTCTACAACACAAAATACTATCACTGCATTTCAAAATAACTAAAGAATATATATGCAGAATACTATAAGTTTTTTGACACAACAGGAATCAAATTGTATTTTTGATACAGAATTAAATGACTTCACCTTTCAACTTAGCGGTCATGAATGACGAGTCAAAGTAAAAGCATGCCGCAACTCTGCATAAAATTTTATCTCGTAATTTAGTGCTACGAATTTTCAAAGGTAAAGCCCAGGCAATTTTGCGGACAGTGTCAGCCTTCATTATAGACGTAAAAAAACTCTATTTCCGAGAGGACGAGCCCGGCGGCAACGAGCAGTCGAGAGTTAATGAATTCTCGACAGCGCTTCGTGGCGCCGGCGAGTCAAAACAGAGATGGTTTTCACGATGAATAATGTAGAGGTGTCATGTGCAGGTATACTAATTATTCCAACATCAATATCTATTGATGGAAATAATTTCAAATGAAGAGAATAATGATACAATCATGTTTAAAAAACATCATTTTATAACGAATTTTGAGTCAAATGATTGAAATATCTAGGACACTCTTAGGTATCTACGTATAAACGTTTTCACTGGAAACCTAGTAAATTGTATTGGCATTTACTTTCGAACACTTGGTTATTTTTTCAATTTACGCCTTCAAATGATCTAGATTTTCAGAATTGTTGAAAGCACAGCCCACGAGGAATGTCAGTCCGATCGAATGTCAAGCGGGAATGAGACGGCGGTTAAATCAAGTGCCTAATACAAACCTTTCATAAATTAAATGTCAAATTGATGTTGATCTATCGAGCCGCTTTGTCGGTTATGGATAATTCATGGTCGATGCCTTAAAAATGCAATTACGTCACCATTGGTGGACTAAGTTACCTATAATGACAGTTGAGTTAATGTACATGGTTCTAACATGATTCTAAAGAGCTGAACAACGTTGTACTTAAGTACAGTATTACTAACGGTACGTGTAGTACGCACAGCTACAAGTTACTTTTAAAATGCATTGTATGCGGTGTTATCATTCCTGAAAAAGACTTCATAGTGTATGATTAAATTCTTTTTCTACTGGGTAAGAACTATAGTTGAGTTATTTAGTATAGATAGACAGAGGCAACTCTTAACGAAGAAAAATATATACTCTGCGAATCTTAGTCTATAAATGAGAAAAAAAATTTACACGATATATGATTTATTTACAAATGAGATTTGGTGTCAACGATGAAATATTTTACAATGTAGTAATCACAAAACTTTAACTATTATAAGAAGATGATCACACCAGGGTGCCAGGTGTTGAAGATTGTTGACTGGGCACAATAAATTTATTCGAATTAGACGAAGTTGAAGACGGTAATCTTGCTCTGTGGTAAACATCACCGTTATTTGCGGTCGTCTTACCGGCCCCGTTGCTGAGATTAAGTCCTGCAACTCCGCCGTTGGGCAAGCTAAGATTTCCGTTGGCTTTTGGAGCGTGGTTTCTCATTTGCTGAGACAACTCTGACCGTGAAGAATAAGTTTGGTGCTGCTGAGCATTCAAGGAAGCTGACGCTCCGGTATTTTGGAGTGCGTAAGTTGGAGGAGTGTAAGGAGGGGGAGCTAAAGAGTACGATAAAGAACTTGGAGGTTCGTTGCCAACTTGTGAGTGCAAATATTTCTGGTGAAGTCCCGCCGCGTTGTAGTTGTTTGCGGTTGGTATGCTGGGAGTCGCAATGGCTCCGTGAGAGCCGTAACCTTCGTCCTGTTAAACAAACGTGAAAAGAAAACATCAATTCTCAAAAAATATTTGGGTGGGTGACCCATATACATCACCTATATTTTTTCGATTATATTGCATAACAACATATAGATTTATACTGAAATAAACTTTGATATATGATGATAATATGTGCGTAGAAACCAAAAAATTGTAAAAGGTTTAAAATCGATTGGAAGATATTATTATTTTTTTTTTTAAATTCGCTCAGTTAAAAGCTGAAATAAGAAATCTTTACGAGCTTCACGAAAAAATTTTTTATTTGAAATACACACGCCGATGTATGGAGTTTTGTAATCTAGTTCACTTCATTAATTTAATCCAACTTAAGTTCATTAATTTCAAAAGAATACATTAAAAAGGCTCGTTAGTAATCGCAATTGAAAACTACGTGCGAAAAGTTCAATATAAATATTTTAAGATTTAATATATGGCACACGTTCCTGAAAGCAACTGTATTCCGCGATTCTTAATTTGATCACATAAAAGCTTTGCAGCGATACGGAATTTTTCAAATTATTCACTGTTTTATTTCTTTATGTGGGGCGTATAGAAATAAATTTAAGAGCTTGTTGCAAAGACAAATCTCCCTAGTAAATTAAATAAACTTTAGAATTTTACCGTTGACAACAGAATTTCAAACGTATGCTACCGTTTGAAATATCTAAAATTCAACAGAGGTTTAATAAACCTCGACGATTTGTAACAATTAAAGGTGTTTTTCAACATAAACATAACAGAGGATACTTTTTTCCTCCCGAATTTGTTTGGTTCAGTAATTAAAGCTATTCAATATTCAGCGCTCTATTTCTGGAAATTGCATTAATTGAACAAATTAATCGAAAATTATAACGAACTTGAAAGATAATAAAACGAGGCGAACAGACATATTGGGAGACAATTATCTCAAACCAGTATCCAGAAGTCGTCACTAAGCATTTTCAAAGCAAATTAGTCCCGCATTTTGAGAAAAATAGAAGTAACGAAGGCGAAAGCGGGACTGAATATATCAACATGTCATTACGTTAACTTTTTTTACGAGTCGAGCTTATAAACGCGGAGCGTCAACTTGCGTAACTTCAAATTGAGTAATTCAGCCTGGAGTAATTTAGTCCATTAAAGAAGCTCGTCAGCATTCAAGATCCTATCTATAAAAGAATCCCTATTTTATTGAGCGCTGCGTGAATGATGTCAATCTTGGCTTCAGATTGCATAACGAGGTGCATTATGTTTTGAATCACAAGTTTATTCGAAAAATAAGTAATAAGAAAAAGTTATTATGGGCTTCAGTTGCTTCCATATTAAATTAAATACAATTATAAATAGAGAATTTGGGTAAACCAGTCAATAAGCTTTTGATCTCACTTTAAAATTCGGTTTGAAAATTAAGAGTGTGAAAAATTATTTAATGGTTATAAATGATTTAGTTTGTTTAAGGATTTCAGTAAATGAATACTGGCGTGAGTTGCAGAGACATTTATCTGCGCAAATTTAAACTGCATGAAAAATTTATGGAGGGCTTTAATATAGGGAAATTATGCATTGACATATTGCGAAATTTGCATGTTTGAAATTCTTATAACGTAATTTATATTCTATATTAATAAGTAAAATCGAGTTAGTGTAGAAAAAGAGTGAGTTTAGTAATGAAAAAATAATAATAGTTACGACATCAAATAAAAAGTAAATATTCTTGAAAATATATACTAAGCAAAATTATGATCCCAAACTTTGTGTTAATGACTTTAATTTGGTAGGTAATTGGTCACTAAAAAAGCATTGAGCCTGACTACCTAAAATAATTTTTCAATATTTTCATTGCATCCATTTCATAAAAAGAGAGCAGGTTATTGAACTGCAGGTTGGTGCGAGTATAAAGCATATTGGAACGGAATATAAAAATTTATGGAAGAAATTCAATCAAGTAATGGCTGGCAGTCGAGATGCAGTCGCTTCATGACTAAATGAAACATGGCTTCAAAATCCTCAGATTTGTCTGAGCTAACCTTCAGTCTACGGATGCAAAACACCGACTTGGATTCGTCTGATCAACTTCTGTATTAGAAGCAGACAAAAAGACGCGAGCGAATGTCAATTAGTTCAAAAGCTCCGACAAAAGAATGATTAATGCAGTGAAGAACGGATACGGGACTGAGATTGAAGTTATGTTAGCTTACGAAAATTGCTGTATTAAACGACCATTACTGAATGAACTGTTGAAGAGAAATCGTATCCCAGGCAACCACCTAAATAATATATTTCAAAACCACTTGCAAAAAACTTTCGTGTCGACAATTAAATTACGACATTCCTATACGAATAAGAACGTGGCATATTTTGTGTTAGTAAACTTCTCCATAAATAAATACGTGCGATGGGCATAAATAAGAAGAATATTTAAGAAATAAATAAATGTGAAGTTGAAGTTTAATCAGGAAATGGAAAACTTACGGGGCCAATGAACGATGTGGTGCTAAGACGACTATGCGGCACTGTGATTGGTTGCTGAGGCTCAGCAGCTTTAAACGTTGTTTGATGACAGTCACGAAGCTGCAGATGGGGGAAGATCCTAGGCGATGGCTCCCTGTCACTCTCGAAAGCAGCATCAGAATCCCTGTCCCCAACAGACAGGGACGAAGCAGTCCTCATATCCCCGTCTTTGATGTCAGAATCTTTATCTGACGACCGGGTGTCTAAGGGCATCAGTTTATGGGGCGAGGGTGACAAGGGTAAGGTGTGCGTTTCAATCACTATTGGGTGTTCGTTTGGCTTCACAAGATCGTTTGCTCGGCTCATAGCGGCCTTCTTTCTCTTGGAACTGCCTCCTCTTCTTCGGCAACATATGATGAATGCGATCAATAAGACTACCAAAATGATCCCGCACGCACCGAAGCCAAACATGATTACCGTGGACAGAGAGGCTGGAAAAATGACGTAAATTCATAGAATAAAACTTGACACTAAAATTTTTTTCAATTATGTAGCGTTCAATTTTATAATATATAATTTCAATGAGATTTAGCTCCAGTCAATTCAAACGTACAATATTCATGTACAATATTGCATGAAATTTTTCTACACAAACCAGATAAATATCATGTAAAGTTAATTAACATGTACAATGTACATTCATTGGTTAACATATATATTGATAACAGTAAAAAATTCGTCCCATCCGTAAACAGAAATACATGATCCATAAAGCCGAGGTATCTTGGCAACATACTGGTCTCAGTAGAGGAAAATTCAGTCAAAAAATTACTTACGTTGCTCTATGAGAGGAATTTGCGCCACGTCCATGCCGTATTCGTTAACGACGGTGCAGTTGTAGGCCGTAAAATCTTCTTTTCGGGTCACGTTGATTATTAGGCGCGATATGACCCCGTCCGCCATTTGCTTCTCCTCTACAGTAAACCTGTCAGCATCTGAAGAATGAACAAAATAATATTCAATTATATATATAGAATTTTTACAAATGAAATCGGATGCAGCCGGGAAAATATTATTCCAAGATTTGAAACTTATGCCATGGATAAGAAATACAAAATGTTATGGTATAACTTAGTCGTTTGTTTCAACGTTGAAATTAATAGTAAAAAATTGATGGTATGTGCATAACTGGTTAATCAATTCTACAAAAAAATTGCGATTTACTTTCAATAAATGGCAGAAAATCTATTTAGATGTATCATGTTAATTTTATAGCAGAAGCTAGAGCTGTAAAATAATATTGACTGCATAAAATAAAGAGACAAGATAACCTCTAGCGCAGCCACTAGAAAGAAGTCGGAATGGAGTCAGATATATGAAAAGTTACGGAGAGTTCTTCATTCGTAACTTTTGACCCGATTTATTAATATAACAACTAAAAGTGAAGTAGTTTGGGCAGTTGGCTCAAGCCTGGAATTGTTTGGAGGTCTTTTCGCAGCAACATCCCAAGAACCATAACACGCCTAACTTCCCGGACTAATTTATATTAAAGTTACGTGTCTTTACCCTTGAGAAATGGGATGATTTTCCGTGAAAATTTTTGCGGGAAGAGAATATGATGTGCTACGTGCCAATATTTTTTTATTTCTCGAAATCGAGGCTACTTCATCTTAAGTCAAGTTACAGTTACCGAAAAAAACGGTGTCCTAAATGCAAATAAAACTCAATTTATAGCACCGAAGAATATGCATTGTTACTATGTGTGAACGTGTGGTTTTATTAAAAACCTAAAAAATCCTCCAAGTTATTAATAAGTAAACTTACGGCTATTAACAGTGGAAATTTTGATGTTTTTTGAGGTAATGAACGTTAAGCCTGGAAATCGCGAAAAAATATTTTTCCGGGGGGTGTGAAAAAGGTCAATAAATCATTTATGCACGAATGGCAAAATTATTAACGCAGTAAATTTTTCATTCATGTTTCTTTTATAAGAAAAGATACTTATTTTATAATAGGGGTTCATTCGGAGGGCGAAAGAAAAATATTTGTTCCACTATTTGCTTTGGGAAATTTATGTCTGCTATAACAGAAATATACTTTAATTGCAGTCATGGTCAAGAACATGTCTTAACTCTAACAATTTATTTAACATAAAAAAATTAAATCACATGTGGAAAGATTATTATTCATTTCCAACCTCGAAATTTAACGACGTTACCGAAAATAAACCTGGAAACCTCCACTGTAAATTGCTTCGATTGTAAAGGCAAATTGCAGATTGCATGGGAAAATGAATTAATTTCTGAGCAGTGCTCGGAGCCACAAAAAGTGCGGCGAGCCAAGCAGAAAAGTTTTCTCGGTTTAATCCCTCCGGCACCGGAGAATGCACGATCGGTCGGTCCTCAATCTTCGCGTATTTCATAGAATATTCCAGTGAGATCATTACTCGGGCCAAGAAAGAATAACTAAAAAGCTCGCAAAAATTTCACTGATTCAGGACGACTCGAGATCAGTAATGAGTATGGGGTGATGCGCGGTCATATAAGAGCTCTACAGTAAAATGCTGAATGTTTCTTTTGGTTAACTTATCGTTACGACTTTTTTCTGGTATTTATTGGATGATCAGACGTTTGTGGGCTACTTAGTAGTGTCATGTACTAACTTACTCACATGAGGATTAAGTCTGTAAATTATTTTGCAAATTTACAACTATGGGTGCCAAAGAATTAATAATGGATATCTGAAGCAGCATCCACTCCAAAAATATTAATTTCATAATTAATTCCCTTTTAAATTTAAACGTAAAAGCTTTAATAAATAAGCACACTTCTTGATATAAACCAGTCAAATTTCGTAACCAATATGCGTCAGTCAACTTCGATACATGATTAAGAAATTAATCACATATATATATTTCACTTATTACGCTCCAAAGCAATCCACCAATTTAACAGAAATCAGAATATGCCTTTCCAGCAAACTCTGAAAAAAATTTTGCCCCACAGTACATCGCGCACCTTTTAATTAACACTATCATGCATTTGTACATATTTCAATTATCTGATAAAATTACTCAAAATATATCCCCAAAACAATTGAAATGTAAACTGAAAACGCTTATGCTATTTTGCGTTAAAATATTTGTGTTTATCATTTATTTTCAGAACTGAATATAGAATTTCAATCGTGTTGTTCTAAGCTCCTAGAGCTCGTCCTCTAAGCAATGCATAACAAATTACGAGTGAATGGACAAGAATGGACGCACTCAAGCACGCAGTCTCACCAGCAGAGGGATCTGCGTTTATTAGTATCGGGTTACTCCTTTGCCACACAACCCTAGACAGAAGGACGAGCTCCCTGCATAGAAATGAAGCACAGGTACAAACCTGAGGAGACAGCGATGCCTTCCTTAAACCAGGTGAGGGCAACAGGATGTGGCACGGCCCTCACTTTGCACGTGAGTACGGCCCGTTCGCCCTCTTTGGCCCAAACAGGAGAGGTGGAGGTGATGCTCGGTGGCCCTCTTAACCTGAGGTGCACCGTTGCCGATAACGGTGCAAAACCCGGGCTGGTAACAGTGCACATGTAGGCTCCTGTTGTGCTCTCCTCGGCCTTTATGGCAAGTTCTTCGCCCAGCCCTGTCATCTGAGTGCGACAAAATGCAGGTAAAAGTGAGCTTATTGCCCACACCGAGAGATGAGACCAATGCACCAGCTTTATTGCAGTGGCTGAGACCATTTCCCAATAGTAATGACGAGGCTCTTCGATTTCTCTGCAATGCAAACTCAGCAGAGAACGTAACACAGGATCTCTATGAGAGCATAGAACTGAGAAATATTTACATCTCTTGCTATTGCCAGCGGCAGTTCTCTCGCAGTACTAATGGCTTGTCAGATTGCTTCAAAATTAGCTCATAGGTGAAAGAAAATAACGAAAAAATATTTCATTTCACAAAATGTAGGTCCATGCATGGCTATTGTTTATATCTTTAGGCAGAGGAGAATAATTTAGGTGGAATAAAAATGGCACTCTTCATTATATAATTGATAATTTTCATGCAGAAAGTGTACTTTTTTAGGTGCAACGAGAATTACCTTCACATTATTGCGGTGCTGAAGTATGCCACGTCGTATTTTTGGATCCATATGGTACATTGAAAAAAATGATTGAATCATATGTTCTGAATAGAGATGCACCTTACCTGCAACACGTGCTTAGAGCGGTCGTAGCACTGATACTCGTTTTTAAGACCCAAACTGGGTCAGGGTGACACACCTTGGGCCATACTTTCAAAACTGGCTAAGTGAACGTAAATACTTACGCTCTATTTTCTTGTCAATGATTGGTGGATTTTGCTTGAAATACCGTCAATGATTGGCTGATGAACTTGCGATCACTTAACTTTTTTTGAAATATAGGCCCAGGGTAGCAAACGAATCGTTATTTAGATAATAATCTTCTTAATTTTCTAAGTGTACTCAGTATTGAGCCCTCACCGTGGCAGTGCTGAGATGGGTCCACACGATGGTAGGCTGAGGGTTGCCCTCTACTCGGCATCTGAGGGACGCGTTCTGGTTGGGCTCAGCGCTCTCGCTGCTCGGCGCCGAGATAAAGCTTGGAGCGTCTGGGGTGATTAATGGGCAAGACTTCATTACACTTCAGTCTGCAACTGCTCATAACATATTACTCAGACTCGCTCAACCCCATGTTGCTAAAATATGAGCGTGAGGCTATATTATGATGTGAAGGGATCACAACAACACAATAATACGGGGTTAACGGATCACAATAATTCAATAATACGGTGTGAACTGATCACAATTACACAATAATACGATGTGAACGGATCACAACAACACAATAATACGGGGTTAACGGATCACAATAACACAATAATAATGATGTAAATGGAACACAACAATAATACGGTGTGAACGGATCACTATAACACTATCATACGGTGTGAACGAATCACTATAAAACTAAAATACGGTGTGAACGGATCACAATAACACTATAATGCGGTGTGACCTTCTACCACTCACACTATAACACGAGGCTACCGGCCCGCAATATCAGTCATTCACCATTATTCTAAACGGTCAACACAATCTTACAAAAAGAGCCACCGTCACCGAAGATGTTCATCATAACTTTTAACGAAAAATTGCAAAGTAATTTGCTCCGACGTGGACACAAAAGGAAAATTTAATAATGTTGTCGCTCTCGTGTCGCGGATTCATGGTTTTTCATTATACCGCTCGAAAGGGATATAAATTATCTAAGAATTTTCCATGTATCTCATAGTCTAAAATTTTCGTATAATTGATCTCGACAGAAACATAACCTTCTTCCTTCACTTGAGAAAACAAAACTACATCGATGGTGTGTGAGAAAAAATAATTTATCGGGGATTTATTTGAATTCTCGCAATTCAATTTTGATTCTTAAATCATATAAATAATTTCTTGCTTCTGTTAAGTTATTTAGTACAATTTTAATCATAGCCAGCAGAGGTTAAAACTATCATTTAGAAGTAATTTCATCTCAATAATTAGCCTGGAATAAAAACACAAGTTCTTAATAATGTCGAGGGAGACTCAAAGCAAATTTCTTTTCAAAAAAATCGCAATAAACAATTTAATCATTTATGGTTTTCATTAACTACATGGAAATCTTAAACCTCTACTGTAGACGCTTTCTCATATTACTCTTTACGCATCAGTTTTTTCAGATTAATTGCTGTACTATATACTGTAAATGCACGCTAAGCGCTGGCGTTGAGAAGGTATTTCCTCTACGTAGCTTTACGCAAATAATTACCTTAATTACCGAATTAATATCAATTGAATATCGATACGGTCGTGGAGGAAAGTTATTCGTTTAGTCGCAAGTTTGCAATGTCGTTATTTTAACGTCATTATTCATTATTTATTATTATTTTAACATCAACAATCATCACTCAAAACAGACATCGAGATTGCTTGTGTAAAAATATAGAATAGCCAAAATACTTTCGGACATTTATTGATATATTTTCATTAAAAAATGTCGTTTTTTGAGGAAGGAGTTGCCTCTGTTCGAATTGCTGGACGAAAGCATTATTGTTAGCATATTAAATTTATTAAGGTTTAAATAAATATAATCAAATAATATGTATTGTCATACTGGACGTCGAGGAATGAAGTTTGCCTGGTTGTATTGTGAGATCTAAATATATATTTTTTTGTATTTCAAACCTCATAAAATTGATTAAATAATATTTATTCCCACATTGGAATTCGAGAAATGAGGTTTGCCTTATAGTATTACGAGATCAAAAATTTTGTTTTCGTATTTCAAACCTAAAAAATTGATCAAAAAATGTTTATTCTCACATTGGACGTCGAGGCATGAGGTTTGCCTGGTAATATAACGATATCAAAATATATTTTTGGTATTTCAAACCTCAAAAATTTGGTCAAATAATGTTTACTCTCACATTGGACGTCGAGGAAGGACGTCTGTCTGGTGGTGCCGACAACGTTGCTCGCTTCACACGACACGTCGGTGCCGTGGTCAGCGCGGGACACGAGGCCGAGGCTGACAGAGCGCTGAGTCTCATCCACGTCGAGCATCTGACGACCTCTGAACCACTTGTAGGTGACGTCATGCGGGTTCGCTTCTGAGTCGCATGAGGCTCGGACTTCGGTCCCTTCTTGTATAACGGCTGCAAGATGAAAATGATAATGTTCAATAATAATAAATTCAAAAATAATGATTGGAGTTGCAGAGTATTAGAGAAATCTATGGTAATCTAGAGATTATGGCGAGACCATTTCGAAAGAGGTAGAGCATACATGGGCTAAATAATGATTGAAGATTTACCCTGACATCGAGATTGGGATTTTACCACTACAAACAACTAGAAGCAAAATTGAAATGTTTTGCATACAGTGTTTCCATGAAAGTTTTTAATTAATTGACATTGATTCATTATTCCTTTTTCCTTCTTTCAACTTTCAAATTAAATTCTTAGATACTATAGAGTAGAAAAAACTATCACTAAAGCGGGTAGAGCCTGAGATGCACTCGCGGCGGGTATTGGACCATGTCGCAGTAGTATTAAGCAGACTAATGATATAACAACTAACATTTGTATGTAATTATTTTTTCCTTCTTTAAATCCTCAAATTAAATTCTTAGGTTCTATAGACTATAAAAAATTACTCACGCGGGTAGAGCCTGAGATGCACCCGTGGAGGATATTGGACCATGTCGTAGTAGTATTAAGCAGACTAGTGACATAACAATTAAAATTCTTAGGTATTATAGTGTAGTAAAACATCACTCACGCGGGTAGAGCCTGAGATGCACCCGGGGAGGGTATTGGACCATGAGCGAGACGGAGGCGGTGAGGGCGGCGGGCAGGGCGGGGTGATGCGTGACGCAACTGATGGACTTCAAGTGATGGTCACGCGTCGGGATGAACGTCAAGTTGGACTCTACGGACAAGCGCTTACCATCCTCCATCAGCTCCTGGCTCGTGAGGATGCCTTCGTGGATCACGGAGCCGCTGTCATCGAGCCATTGTACCTGCACGGAAAAATATACAGAACCCGATTTATTGATAGACTGAGCATTTAACTAACGTTGTTCAATATACAAGTATGAAGAGGTCAAATCAACTATAGATTAATTTAATACTATGAATAATTAAAAAAAACAATTTATGAATAAAGTAGCAAATTAAATAATAAAGTAGCAATGGCATACAATTTTATTTAGATTTTTTAATATTCCCAGCAGGCAAATACCAACTCTGGTCAAGGCGTTTGATAAAAGAAATAATTCCGCAGTAATGGACAGAATCATGTCCGAGGTTCATTAAACAAGAGCAATGCAACGGTAAAAATGGCCCTGGTAAAAATAGGTCTTAATATCCTTAATGGCCGCGCATCAAGCGAGGGGAATGATTCTCGATCTTTTAATGATGGGAACGAGAAAAATGATTCCTGATCATAGCTCTTCTGCTTCGGTGACGAACGGAGAAAATTTGTGCACACCGTTCAGTCGACGAGGACTAATGCGCTCTAATTCTTCACAAATGCTGCTCAGTGACTGAGATTTAAAGAAATGAAGTATCGTAAAAATTAAATTCATTCCCTCTTTAGCGATGATTACAAGTCGTGCAGAAACGGTGATCAAGTTGAGCTCCTGGTACAATTTTTAATTTGTAGGGGCAGATTTTTATAGTCTAGAGCAATGACACGAATTCTGAAAAACTGTCCTTTAATGAGCGTAGATTTTGAACGAAAAAATTCTGATGCCTTTTCTGTATAAAAGAGGCAGTGGAAGTTGGACGTAGCGGAGAGTGTTTTAAAGAGATATTAAAAGGAAACAATTTTACACATAAAAAACTTCCCTCATCGTGTGAAAAACTAAAACATAGCTCCAAGTAAATGGCAGAACGAACATCTAATAAAATTAAATATACGTAAACTACATTAGAATTTATTAAAGCTAACGCTGCGATAAAAATTTCATTCACGAAAATATTTAAGCAAAAGAATGAGTTACCTCAGAAATTGCTGTATGAACGCAATTATATTGCGCTGCATAATAACACTAAATAAACTTAAACAATAATTTGTACAAACCTCAGGCGCTGGTCGTCCTCCAGTACTCGTACACTTGAGGGTGATGCGGGCCCCGGCGGTGGTGTGGACCACAGGTCCCGGGGCCAGGACGGGCGGTCCAGGCGGGACAAACACCGTCAGCTTAGCGACGCGGGAACGCAGCGGCTTGTCGTTCACCGAGGACACCTGACACTGGTAGTGCGCGTCATCCTCCAGCGTCACCGGGGAGATGCTCAGGCTGAAGTCTCCTTCTTCATCAGAGCCTACCATCAAGTACCTAAGAGAGAGAGAAATGGGAAATCTGAGTTATTCGTCTTCGTTCCAGACAAACAAACATGAGGGAAATGATGTAGTATTAAATAATGTTGAAGACAGGCGTAACATGAAGTCACCCTATTCGTCGGAACATTTCTTCATCATATACAATAATTGTACACCATCAAGAAACAAAAGGGGTGAAAAGGAAATCTGAATTATGCCTTTACGTCCCAGAAACATTGAGGAATACGATAAAACAGAAATGTAGTTTTAAAGAAACGTGGAACAAGTATTATTTTTACTTGCTTTTATCCACCAACGAGTGAATCATGAAATATGCGGCGAATTCTTACGATCACTTCATTTGTAATTACACAGCTCGAGACACGCGGTAATGAAGTATAATTCATCAAACAAATTGTTTTGGTTCTCCCTCTCTCTCCCTCCTAACAAAACATGGAGTAACGAAGCCAATGTTAACCACACAAGCACAAAAAGAACATAAAAGGCAAGTTCAATTTCATGCACCATCGATTGACGACTCAAAGAAATAAAATTTTCTTTGCAATGTTAACGTTAGTGGCAGTCTGGGTCTCCATCGTTCTTGTGCGTGACGGGCAAAGCATTCAGATGCAATTCTCACTTGGGTTTAATTATTCATCTATGGTTGAGTGGCCATAATTGAGCATGTATCTGCTGGCAAATAAAATAAATAATTAAATTGCCGTTCAACTTAGAACTCTGTTTTTATGTTGCTGTACGAAGGAAATATTTTAAATTTACAATCAAATTAAATGTGTATGATGCGATTCTTGTCAGAAATTCAACAACGTAAATTTGCACGAAAACAACAGAAATTACGTCTCATGAGAAACGGGTACTCAGTCTCTGATCAAATATTTACGTTCGGATCTTGTATCAAAATTTCGACTGGATAAAAATTTCATTGAACAAAACCCGGAAGACCGTCATAGAAGCATTAGTTTACTTACCAGTAATATTTGAAAAGGGTTATTCAGCGTAATGCATTCGAGCCACATCGATTATTCGGTGAAATATATTATTTCTGAACGCTTTACTATGGCTCTTGTTTGGGACTCAATTCAGGAAGTGTACTAGGATGCCCCTAGGAGCACAAACTTACAAAAACATGAGTGGCTTTTAAAGAGACACTATAAAGATGGTATAATCTAAAAATGAATGTGGATGTTATTGCAACAATTTTCCGGGAGTTGAAAAATTAAGTTTTATGTTCTTCCTTCATAAATCCACTATTTAAATATAAATAAATCCACATAAATCCACTTACTTCATAAATACACCTTGCTGGGATATATTCATGGGCGGGGCTACTAATTCAGTGAACAAGTCACTTCACAATAAAGCAAACTCTAGTTCGGTAACGTTAAATCGGAATGAAGGTAAAGGAACAAAGTAAATATCCAGTCTCATACTGACCGATCGAAGCCACTGAGCCGGCGGATGACACCCAAGCCGAAGCCATCTTTGGTCCACTGAACGAAGCCAACTTGGTTGATCACTCTGCAAACATTGCAGTGACTGCATTAAAGTGGGATCAAGTGTATCATGAACATTATGCAAAGCAGACACGGTAGGTACGAGTGCATTGAGAATTTCACGGTAGTTTAGGCGAGACGAGGTCTGGAATATCGAATAATAATTACATTTCTTCTATAAATTAAGTGCTTAACAGATAGCCGAGCGTGCTTTGAACTGGATTTTAGCGGGTGCAATTTTCTATGCAGGTTTCTCTGAACCAAAACACTGCATATAGTATCAGACAAAAAGTAAAATCATTTCCTAAACAGTGAAAAAGTTTTATAATTATAACTTTAAAATTATTCTCATTTACGGTATTGGACAAAACCAAAATCAAACTTTTGCCCGACACTTTCGAGGAAATTCCTGAACTCCATGTTAGCGACAGCAAAAAAAAATATATATTTTATTCGGGGATTTCCCTCGTACCTGCACGGAAAGACCGCCATGGATCCCAGAACGGCTGTTTGATCCGACGGTTCGGTGGCAAATCGCTGATTTTCGCCGCCGACTTCATCCTCAGCCGAACCCAAAACAAAGAGACACAGGAATACGAGGATCCAAAGATCAGGTATTTTTGCCCAACAAGTCTTCAGAGGCAGCATCCTTTCAGGTGGCAACAAACCAATCACAAGTCCTGTGTTGCCGACGTCAACGTCTGCGGACGAGTCTTGTCTCGGATTCCTGTTAATGAGAAATGAGTCTTGCTTTAATAGAAAAGCCGGACGGAAAAAACTTGTAGACATGGGTAAACCGAATTCAATTGACGAAAGTGGATTCTTGTTAACACTGAAACAATCAATTGAGATGAGAAGTATCTATAAAAAATGACGACTTAATTGAACTGACTACTAATCGATTTGAAGACTGAACCTTCACTTCCAAATGATATATGAGCTAATGTGCACCATCAGTATTTGACATGAAAATAAATTGTTGCGAAATAATCTTGATTTAGCTCCTACACAATTGTTAATAGATTGCAATTTAGCAGAATAACTGCTCAATAGTACATAAATATTCATCAAAACTACATTAATTTCTTAAATTTTCTTTATATATAGCTAAAAGTTTCATTTTTATTGAAATAGAGATTTTATCATAGTTTGATCATAGTTTGAAGTCAAATTTTGGTATGAACATTTTACCTCGAGTTTTAGTAGAATTCATTAGCACTACATCAAAGAAAATATCCCATTCCCTTATATTTGATTAAATTCATTAATCTTCAATTTTGGACAACATACTAACACAGTAATTCAATTTTGGACCCCCTAAATCACAGCATTTCATCTACATCCATGCATCATTTTACTTTTGGACTGCCGATTAATGTAGGCATTTAAATTATCACACGGCAGGGTACCTGGACACAAAATTCTCCCAAATTTCACCAGGCTGAAAATTATAAAACATTTTTTGAGATCAAAAAGACTGCACTGATACCAATAAATTTGCTATTTGAACCACAGAAAATGAAAACCTACACTGGAATCTGGCCATATGAATGACAGCTCGAGATGGTAAAATGATCATAACCAGAAGCTCGCTATGGCTGAACAACTTTTGCAGGAGCAGATGATAAAAAAAAATGCAAGGAGATTTCAGTCGGCGTCACGGCGTGAAGCCTCAGCGTTCACTGAGTAAATGAAGAAGTGGTATTGTTGAAATATTTACCCATTCCGGTATTCACGGCACGAGCAAAAAGCCAACGTTGCACCAATACTCTCTTTTGCCCAGCCAAATTGGGTGAAGACGACATACCCTAACGCAAAAAATGCATCGTCACTCGGACAATACTAATTCATTTCCCTGAGTGTTGGTAGATCAAGTCGTTCTATATTATCGGAGCTCGACCTGCCGTGCGTGAGCAGCGGCAGTGAAGGCCACGAGCGCGATTTAATCTGATACCAACGCGTCCAAATCCAGCTTCTTGTTTTCAGCCGTTCTGTCAGATAAAGCCGACAAAAACTAATGTCAAGTGATGCACACTAACAACTTAAATAGAATTATATAGTTTATATAACTTCTATAGCTATGGCATAATCAAATTGCTTAAGTATAAATTAATTTAATTGTGTCTCATATCTCAAATTTGCAGAATGAAACTCTTGCAGTACAAGAGTTCCGCATTGCATGTAAATATACAGCAGCCTTTTCATACAGGTTTTTTAGTCTTGCAGGTTTTCTTTGCGTGCATGCGATCTTTGGAGATGAATTTAATGTTTGAAAAGAAGAATTAACACCTGAGTTTTGATAAATAAGTAGATTGAAAGCAAGCGTTTAAGTCAATTAAGTTCAAAAAATCTATTTTCGAAAATTGGAAAAAGTTTAGAATATTATGCTTACGAATAGACAGGCAAGAAAATCAAAAAATATCAGCTGCTCTGGCTGGAGGTTTTAAAACATACAATCATCAGATGAAAATAAATTCAAGTCATATCACACCAATTCACAACTGAAGGAATTACAAAGACTGTTAGCCTGTGTCAAAATTTAAATAGTGTCGTCACTTGGGACCCTCCCGGAAAAGTTATAAAGCTTCAGGACAATTATCTTTCTGGTAGTCAAGGGGAACGTTTTGGAACATCATAAGGAACAAAGCTTTTGCCATGCTTGTTCATTAGAGTAGAAGCCATCGAGCAAGCGAGGCTTAAAGTGTAGGAGTGTGCCGTATAAAAGAGGAACACTTACTGAATGTTTGCGTTCTACGTCGGTGCTTCACTTGGGCTAGGATGGGGCTTGGGTAAGGCAATTTCAGAGGGAAGTGCCTCTGCTGCTCCAGGAATACAAAGGAGCTTGTACTCTAATGATTTATACTACAGTGCACTTCAGTCGACAGGAAATTATCAGAGGGACAACGAATTTGGTCACGGAATCGTGAAGCGGAAGTCAGAGGCAGTAAGTAAACAGAAGTCTCATGCTATGAGGAAATCATGTTCGTGCTTGATGTATTAGTCGATTGCGTGAACTACATGAATAACCTCTACGAACGTTTAAGATTCGAGCAACACGTACTTCGACATTAGCATACGCATGCATGCGACAAATTACTGTATTTTTGAAATGATGTGAATTAATTTAAAATAACTTAATCTGTTCCATTTATTTATTCTAGAACTGAAAAATTCTCAAACGTAGATGAAATTTCCATCTGAAATCGTATACAATATGTTAAACTCTATCATGCACAATATATAGTCAGTTTCAATTGTCTCTAAATATCTACCCATTTTATTAGCTTTTAGCTTCACAAGCACGTACCAACTGTAACTTTAGCCATGCTGATCAGCGAGGCGACGTATAAGAAACACGATTACAATTGTAATTTTCTTAATACATAGTGGTGCAGTTTAGAATTCATTAATCAAATGTTCCCCATTACTTCTTCGATACCTTGATAAGATCTGTTACCTTATGTCTTGAGAAATCCATAAAAAATTGTCTTATTCATGTTCGTATGACAGTAGAATAGTAAATTTATTCGAACCACGTTGTTGAGTCAAATGAGTACTTTCTAGTGATTTGAATGGTTCAACTTCATTTTTATTCCTGCTACTTTCATAAGCATATCCTTACTTAAAAAACCTGAATCCCCTACTAGTAATTAATTCAAATTTTTCAATCATATTAAACAAACTGACGAAAGAGCGATGCCCATCGCCTCAGTAATTAAAAACTGAGCTACGTTGCTATTGTTGAATTTGTCTCATTGTTGCCTAAAAACTTATTTTATCAAGAATTTTACTCATATAAATTATTGGCTGATTCTATTGACTATTAAAAATATCATATCATCACAAGTTCCTTCTGTCATGCTTCATAAGTTTCTTTTAAACCAGGACTGCGAAACTGTTGAATTAAATCAACGGGTGTAGCACTGCCTAGCATCAGCTAGTTCATTAATATTTCTAAACGAGAGCTCATTCACAACCCGACATGTTGATGAAGTGTGGAGAATCGGCAAGAATAACTTCCGAAGACTATATGAATAAATGATGTCAACGGGAATATCAATAGAGTGTTCCCAACACGAACACTTATCAACATTGCGTAGTAACCGAACAGGCTAATAACGCTTGCTTCATTTCATGTTACAACCTCCATTTTACTAGTAAAATTAATAACGAAATGTGAACTTGAACATCGACGTAAGAGTTAAATTCATTTTTATGTGATGTTAAGAAGATAATATTTAAAAGCTGTTCACTGAATTACTAGGTTTGCCTGCATAAGTTTCACTGAGAAATGACCAACAGATCACAGACTTGAGAGTTCATTATAAATAGTGAATGGAGCTGAATCGGACAAAATCTTTCAGTGGAAATATCTACAACTTTTTCGACGAGGTGGATGGATAGATATTATTAGATATTATAGATAGATATTATTTCTTCGCTGATTTTCATGAAGTCAAATGGAAGCAAGGATATTATATTAATAGCTTTTTGCTTAGCTGCTTCTATAAAATTTCACTATAAATTCTGGTTTTAAAAAAAATCCCACAGTTTGAAATGGTTTATAGGATAAACATGAAATGCGATTTCAGATATTTGAAAGACAACGATTCGAATGAAATGTTTGCAAACTATTCTCTTGATGATACAAAATTGAAGCACTCATATCGCATATTCTAGCGAATGACTTCAATAACATGTGTTAGCGCGATCAGAAGTAAGACACATATGTATATAGGCGGCATTCTAGCACTGCGAAAAAATAGTAGGCGGAAGAGCTCAACAATTTTTTGTCATCCATTTCTACATTTCTTTTGCACTTCTAGGTAATTTTCTGAGCTTCCACTGAGACATGAATAAGTTGAGGCGCCAGAATTGACGTTGCGAGCAAGTTAGTGTGGAGCCGTGGCTGACTATTGCCTTATTCATCACAGCGCTCGATACGCCAGCCAGTCGAGCGAGCCGGCGAGCTGACGATGAGAAGAGGAAGGCAAGAATTTCTTTGCTCATTTTGTTGGTGAGCAAAAGTGGCGAGCATAAAACCGAGGCCATCACGCGTATCTCATAAGAAGTGCACAAACGAAAACAACGATTCTTCTCTGCTGGAAATAGGCCAACCTATAATGGTTGTTTACTGCACTTCCAGCTTGAAAATATGTAAAAATAATATCCAGATCACAATATGTAGAAATATTATGATAATATAATATCCAGAAATATTATGATAATGAATCATTTACACTTAAAACCCCAAGCAAATACAAATCTTGCACACGCAGATATATAATTTAGCTGTGATGCCCATTGCCTAATTTAACACATCTTCTTCATTATTAGATACATTCAACAGCTATAGAAGTATTGAATGTAATTCATTTGAGATCCATAATTTGAAATATCTTCGAACTCGTTTGGCATTTTCAGTTTAGGACACTTTTAGTGAATAATTTTATTTAAACTTGAAAATTACAACTCACAGTGTGATCGAACCAGCATTAACGATAGAAACTAGATCTATAAAACCCTGGTATTTAGAATGCGCGTGCGAATGATATCCGAATTTTTTACGTAAGACAACTATCTTTATTTCACTTAATAAATAAATTTAAATTCTGTAATAAATTAGATAAAAAAACAATGGATTTGCGCGACCTTGGTTGTAGATTGACAATATCTTGAACAGCCTGCGCATTTAATTGAGAATCGACCTACAAACTGGTGCAACCA